TGTTTACTAATATTTCTATCGAAAATATTGAATTTAGTTAAACTCACCGTTTCGTATTGGATCCAGCCTGTTAAAACGTCTTGTCTAACAATGTGATTTGTGAGGAGTGGCCCAACAACCAAATAAGACTAGAAAAATGAAAGAAACAAAATAAACATATATAATATCATGTGATTATATGGAATATTGGTCCAAAAATTGATACACAAATAAGACAGAAAAAATGTGAGACATCTTTTAATATCTTTACATAAAATTCTGGCTCCACAACAAATCGAACATACATGTTTAACACAGACATAATCTTGAAGATTTAGATAGTAGAGTTGATTGTGTAGTCCCAATATATTCTATGAGATTCCAAAAGATTTATCTTTGAATATATTATTACTATGAATCAATAGTAATATATAACATGATTTCATTCACAAACATTAGAAATAATAGAATAAAAGGGTAGCACGATCCACAAAACATCTCGCTGGCTTCCCTACTCGATAGATAGAATAATGTGTCTTCAACAAATACAAAGTCATATTGCTCACATGTTGTACTATCATTTCTTTATTTCACATCTTTAAACACACACAAGTCCCTTCGTGCACTTTCGATAAAATTAAAACTATACAGAGAAGATTAGCAATAACAACAAACACATGCACATGCATACAAACACACATTTTCTTCTCTATTATTTCTCTACATATATTTATATATATAGTTACGTCACTTATAAGATAATTATTAGTGTGTGAAAAATAATTAAATATCAAATTACAAGAAATATTTCAAAATTCACTATTTTTCAAATATTTTGAACTTATAAAAATTTAAATTCTGAATTTATCATTGAAAAAAAATGATTGAGGCGATTTTAAGTGGGGTTGAGTAGTAGACAAAAGACCGTGCAATAGTGAAATTGTGGTCTCATTTGTCTAAATGAAGAAGAAACACATGTACTATAGCTACCAACATGTCTTACCCACTACCAAATTTGTCCTAAACGTCAAATAATTTGAGGTAACTATTTTTAAAATGAACAAAAAATAATTTAAGACAGATGAAGTCTTTGTGAGCCCTAAAATACAATCAGTCACTTGTCAATGGTTCAATCACAAGTTTGTCCATATTCCCACACATGTTATACATAGTCTTAATATCATTAACATATTCGTTTTTTATTTAGATCCATGCATTGATACCATTATCACCCATTATTCTCGATCATATCCCTTTGTAACCCACCACCCTCAACCATAACCAGCAGTGTTGTCAATTCTTAGAACCGGCCATGATCATTATCACTAGTCCTCATTTATCATGATCATCATCAATTACCATGAATTATCACAACAACGTCATCATTCACTACTTACAACTACCCATATAATTACAAATTAGCTAAGACCATCTCCAATTGACATCCACAACCATCATCGCCATTAGATACACACCTGAATGTGAGGGTCCTATGACCTTCTCCCCCCCTACCCCCACCCCCACCCAACTTATACTTTTCGTATATATTTTTTGTTTCCCTTCACTAGATAATTTTTTTTTTCTAAGACGGTTTTAAAACAATAAGTAAAAAATCATCATAATAGATAAATTTTAAAATTTTGAATGTGCCTCGAAGTTTACCGAAAAGAATAAGTAGTACTACATAAAGCAAAAATTGTATATTCAGTATGATTGACAGTTTCCAAAATTATGGATGAATTTTTGTCAAATAGCCAAAAGAGGACAAAAGGGTAGTTCATTAAAATGTACCATGAAAATATATTTAGGTCCTCAATCTTCTTCTTATCCATAAACTCCAACTTGGCTTCACTATTTATGAAATTGAAATTTATTGACAATGTTTCATTTTTGTATTTGCATGACGATCGTCTGAAGTACAATTAAGTAAATAAAAATGTGTTTTATTCAATCACACTATTAAACATGATATAAGAGCGTATAAAAAATTTAAGTTCGAATAGTCTTATGATCATTAAAATGTACCATGAAAATATATTTTGGTCCCCAATCTTCTTAACACATTGATTCTTATCCATAAACTCCAACTTGGCTTCACTATTTATGAAATTGAAATTTATTGACAATGTTTCATTTTTGTATTTGCATGACGATCATCTGAAGTACAATTAAGTAAATAAAAATGTGTTTTATTCAATCACACTATTAAACATGATATAAGAGCGTATAAAAAATTTAAGCTCGAGTATTCTTATGATCATTTATTATAAAAAAAAAAGAATTTTCATATGTTTAACCCAATAGAAAGAATATGTTCGAACGCCAAGAAGCATGTTGGAGATATTGCTAATTAAGTAATAAAAATGTGTTCACTCTAGCAATTTAAGTCGTAGACGATGTAATATAATCGCAAAATAAACGCCCTGATCCAATAGTGCTAGTATAATAGGCCCAATAATGGGTTCGTAAGTTTGACAGAATCTAATGTTTAGACATCAAATCGTGTATGTACATATGTGGAAAAAGTATAAATTATTTTAAAATGTATGACGTCTAAATTCTGAATCTGCTACTACCGTATAGTCCATGTATTATCTTTCTTCCTATTCTATTATTATCAGTATACTCCAAAAACTTCTTGATTTTATAATTTTAATTAATTGCCAAACATTATCACGATGTAGTAGACATATTGTGCAAAATAGTCAACATGTAATATAACTTTAATATTACTCCTAATATTTATTCTATTAGTATAGCTGTCTAATTAATACCAAAAAGGATGACCTAAATTATGCACAAATTTCACAATATAGCCACAGAAAAATCTTTAATTATTATGGTATATCTAGATCTAATTAATTTATAGCCCCTTCTCCAATTAGGCTATGTAACAAACATCTATAATCAACTTTTTGTCTTACAAATCACTGTGCAGATCCCTGCTGAATGGTAACGACAAAGATTATTGATGGTATGAATTGTGGCAGGGTATTTGAAATCTGTTCATCGTTAATTAGAAGTTTTAAATTAGAATTCTTAGGAATACAAAAAAGTACTTGGAGTGCCGCCTCCCAGCAGAAATATGGGTCATGCAGTGCGCGGATCACCAGATTGAACCCCCACCTCACCCCAACCCCACCAAAAATTAAGAAATAATTATCAATATAAGACAAAGTTGTTGTATAATTATATTTTATGATAAGAAAAGAAAAGAGTGTTATATATTCCCTCTGTTCAAAACAAGTGTAATCTTAGCAAAAAATTACGTTCATTAGGTATTAAGAAATCAATTACTACAATGTTTGTTACTATCCCTATTTAATAATTCGATATTTTAAATAAAAAATTTAGATATTCAAAAACTATACGAAAAGTACTATAAATTTCAATTCTTTGCATATCAATATGATGAAAAAATACATCGTAAAATTTTAGTCAAAGTTATTATCATTTGACTCTAAAAAAGAAAACTATGACAATTAAAAGTGGGCGGAGATAGTAATTAAAAAAATATACTCTAATTTTTGGTCTTGAATTCCTACGGTGACCCTTATTTTGAGACGAAGGAAGTATATACACGATTGCAATTATGAGGCTTCAATGATCATCATGCTATAAATAGGTTACAAATTTAGCCAAAATAATCATGCTATATGTGCACGCATGCTTGGTTTAAGATCATATATAATTATCATTGATTAAAGACTTCAACTATTAGCTTTATCGAGGTAATCTCATTATGAGGATTGACATCAATCTCAAGGAATTATTGAAGGGATGAGTAAAAAGTTTTATGCATTGACGGTGTATATAATTTATAAGTAATCTTCATAATAAGCGTTAATCAATCACATGAGTTATCCTTGTTAAAAAGTTGTTAATTGGCATTCCTTTGCTGAAAAATTACGCTTTGTAAATAGGTATATACTATATACGATGAATTTTCCTTAACTTTTTCATGCATATACTTCGTTATAATTTAACTCTTTTTGATAAAAATTTTGATTCCGCTACGTACTCACTTGTGGTGGGGTTAAGAATGGGGTGTAATCCTCTTACTAAGTAGTGAGAATGTATTACTTTCTTGAGACAAAAAAGTGGCTTTATGAAACATGTTGATGTAGTATATTTGAAACTTGGGAAATTTAGAATGCATATTCACACTTTGGAATGTAAAGAAAATTTTAATTAGGCATGTGAAACATAAACTAGGTGGGGCAACAAATGTAATTTTTTTGGTTCAACAAAATTGACTCCACATCAAAAACCATTGGTGATTGGATGTGTTCACAATGCTAAAACACAACTACGCCTCTATCTCAAGCAAGTCTAATCGATTGATTACATGAACCTTCACCAAGGGTGGACGACATAGCGTATGTGATAATGAGTTAAACCAAACTCGATTTCTTTGGATTATATGGGTATATATGTTTTATAAATTCACTAAATAAAGTAGAAATAACAAATTTCAAACGCAATAAATCGAAGTGAATGAAATTTCAAAGTCACTCATAAAGTGTGAATTTTAGATCCGTGTATAATCTTTCACTATCCATGTGCCTATAAGAGTGTGCTCATATTGCCTTGACAACTAAACAATGTAACTTTAAATATGCACATCTAAACACATCAACTCGTCTCTACTGTGTCAGTAAAACACTCCAACTTACAAAATCATCATCTAGACACCTCCTTAATTTATGTGTCACATCAGTATCGGGTGTTGACAAGACACAATGAGGCAGAGTTAAGAGTATGTAGTTGTCAGTTGAGACCAAGTTGATATTTTTAGATGTGCACTCTCAAAGTACTTAAAGTACTTACTTGTCACTAAGGCCAAGTTTAGATATTTGTTTATGTATCATGTCTGATATTGTTTGATCATATTAGAGTTATATAACAGTTCCTCCAACATTTTCAAATGAAATGGTTTGGCAAGACATTACAACAACAATAACTTTAACATATTCACTGTAATCCCATAAGTGAAATCTGAGAAAGATAGAGAGAACGCATACCTTATCTCTACCTCATGGAGATAGAGAGGCTATTTCCAATAGACCCTCAACTCGGTTTTGTCTAAACAAAGCAAAGATTTGTTTCAAAATACAATCTTTAACCTCACTTTCAATGTAGAACTATTCATCCTTGCATGAACAAAGTTAAGCATCTAAACAACTTCAAGAAGACTATTGCCATAAGTACTAGTTCAAAATTCCATTCATTCATATCAGATCCATGAACAATGTTTATGCATTGCAGCAACTGTACAAGCAGAGATAGAGTGAGATACCGCAAAATAAAACCACATCTAATTGCAAAATGCAGACGTGTTTCTTTGCTTTTTTATATTATTTGCTATAGAGAGGGTAGAACGATAGTAGCCACATCTATAGAGCCGATACATATTCTCACCCCAAATTTCAACCAACACAGTGCTACGAGCATTTGTTTGGGAAACACCCTGCTGGGAACAGGGATGTCATCTCCCTAGTTTATGCAGCTGGAACCTTTTTTCCGTCTTCTATGAAGAATATTGCAGATTCTGGAACCTGAGAACAGGAACACCAATGAACTTTAGCTAACATTATATGAAATCGGACAATTGAACAAGTATGGCTATATCTGTATTCCCAATTAGTAAATAAATCCTCTTTATTCATTGAGCCGTTTTAATCCATACTAATTAATGTCTTTGAAGATAGATATAAGGGTTGTCTAAAGATATATCAAATTAGTAGAAAGTAGAAAATGGGATACACGGAGAAAAGGATAAAATGTTGATATGATAACATGGATAAAATATTCTTGAGTACATATAAAGACGATAATCAGAAGATAAAACAACATACATCTGGCCAGGTTTCTGTAATGAAGTCCACAATGTCATAGGATATGTCCCCTTGAACATCAATCTGCTCCTTTTCAGTTGGGCCCTGAAGCATTAATCCAGGTTAGGTACACATCTATCTCATATCAGAGAAATTAGAAAGCACAACTTTGACGCACCTTAACCACAGAAGCTCCAGTAGCAAACTTTTTACCAAGCTTTTTTGAAGCATCACTTAGTTTAACACCTAAAATGTCCAAAATAAGCAAAGCTAAATACTGTAGCACTTGGAAGACAGAAAGAATAAAAAACAAGATAACGCAAGATAATATACAACTTCAGATATTGCTCACCAAAGATTTCAAGGCCCTTGATGGTAGTGATACTCTTTCGTCTGTTTCTGGTGACCTTTTCAATAATTATCTCCTGTTTATCCTACAATATAACCAAGAAAGTTTTACAACTTGTAGACTTGCTTATAAGTTTATTTTCACAGCATTATCTTGTTGGATCATGACGTCTTTGCTAAACCAATGGATAAGGCTCCATACTACACCATAAATGAAAGACACGTTATATGAAAAGTTGCTCAAATATAGTGAGGAATGAGGACTCAGGTTGGCATTAGGCAAGATGATGGTTTCAGTTACCATTGTTTATGAGGTTCTCCTTAGGGAGGAGCGGGGGAAGGAGCAGAAGAATACACCAGATTGAAATAATAGCTAAAAAGACGTAAAGAAACAATTGGAAGTTGAAATGTGCTAATAGATAAGCCTCATTTGCTGCTTCACCATGCCAGAATGGAAACTAGATCATGCCAAATGATATGGGATCTTCATGCTCAGTTTACCACAATAAGATGGCATCCTTTCAATGAAATTCACTTAGGAACTTCTAGATACATTTAGTGAGTTCTGCTAGTTGATTTTAGTAACTGACATGAGAACTTCCAGTGGAGAGGGTATTTTCTAGAGTTCCTCCAAATGAATATCCTACGGCGAGTGATCATTCGCATGAGTCAAGGAAATGAAAGCAAAGTCAAGTTTCTTAACTATACTATACTGCATCCACAACAATGAATGCATATCTGAACTACAGCTGCAAAAAAAGGCCATTTAATGACCTCCCAGATTCGTCTAGTCAGGTTTAGTTACTTTGATCCGAAGGATCAAACCTTTGATTTGGCATAATAAAAGAGATTAAAAGAATTAGTCCAAATATTTCAATTATATCACAGACCAGGCATTAAATATTGACCACTGCAATGAAAAATTACACAGAAAACCTTCAACTGAAATTGATTAATAAGTATGTAACAATGCAAGATTTCCAAAGATAAAGATGTCCGTAGTAACTTTGGAAGTTAATACCAGTACTGATTTTTCTTCTGGTTGGTAAACTGATTGGATTGAGCTCTTTTTATTTCTGTAATATCTACCTACTGCCTCTTCTGTTGAGAAAGAAGAGCTAAGGAGAAACTACTTAGGATGCTTGCATATTCACATTGCAGGGAAAACCCGCATCAAAGCATAACAGCTTCTAGTTAGTTCAACTAGGTGAATAGTATCCATCCAATATTTGAATATAAATGATATAACCAAGATATGTAACTTAATATCTCAAAGCAAAAGAGAGAAACTTTTCAATTAGAATGATCTTGATTCATAATATGTTGATAAAATTAAAATCTTAAGAAGATGGCTGACAGGGAACAATAATGAAAAGTTTTACAGGCACATGAATTCAATGGGAGGATTACAAGAACTTCACTTATCAAACTTTCTAAGAGCTTATAATATCACATGGATGGCACAAAGCCATGTCATTTTGAAAGAAGGATTAATATACATTAGACAAAACGAAAAATGCTGGAAATATCTTACTTTCTTTTTTATCTTTCCACCAGGAAGGCGCTTGACTTCTTCTTTCTTAGATGTAGAAGAACCTGACCCAACAAAAGGAACAGAAAGGTTAAGAACAGAATTCAATTTTAACATGCAGAGGGGGAAGGGGGAAGTAGATAAAATGAAATCCAAAAAGCAAAAAAAGATCCAAATCTAGGCCTACATTTCTTAGTTTAACCTACAACTATTGGCCCCATAGGCAAGGAAGACAGGATTTAAAACATCAAGTAAATATTTATATTACAAGAACAGACAAAAAAAAACCCGAAATGCAGATGGAATGAAGAAGATTGAGAACGTAATACAATTTGTGAGAAGGTAGATGAGATGTGCGTGAAACTCAAACCAAATATCAAAACAGAGTTCTCTAACACTTGCCAAATTGAAAAGATCAAGAACAAGATTCATTTTGTTGGAAGGTAGCTAAATGACTATCAAAATCAAAACCATAGTTCTCGATACCTATCAAGTCAAAACTATGAAATGAGAAGTTGAAATGAGCAAAAAGGAACTTGTCATCTCTTTTAAATTTTTCTTATTACTCCTCCTTTAGCACATATGAGCTATGCAATATGGTGAAGTTTCTTCAATCTTCACGTCTTCCATTGTGGGAGTTCAGGAGGATTCATCCCATTTGATAGAGAACTCAGACAAAAATACTGCTCTCTGCTGGCCATTGACATAATGCAGTGCCCAAGCAAGGTGTTGCAGAAAGCAATTGAAAGGGGTCGGTAAAGAGGCTATCGTGTAGCAACAAAAGGAGTACAACACACTCACAGTTTTCTTCTTATGTGACTCCTCTACTTCCCCAATGTTTGCAGAGTATGGCCAGTCTCAAGTCCATATAAAGGAGGAGAATGAGCTACGTTGATGGACAAGAATAAAATTTTATGAATACTCATTAATGAACTTGTTGAGACGTCTAGGCATGCATTATTCGGTGCCTGAGTATAGTGTTACATGGGTAAAGGGTTCCACAACATCTCCGCCTGGGTGTGAGGACTATAAGCAAGGGTACCAGTGTGATGGACGAGTGTGGGTAAAGAAGTTAGTCCAACCACATCAGTGACCAGATGTGGCGCTAGATCAAATAGGCAGTTGTTACTTGTTACATAGGGTTGTTGACAAAGAAGTCAATGTAATCAATGGATTCCTTAAAGAGATAGAGAGAGCTTAGGATGAAAGTTTAGTGTGTTTATAACATAGCTCTGTTGGAGAAGTAGATGCGCAGATTGGGGGTAGAGGAGCATGCACTACGAAGAAAGGTCATAGTGGGTAAATATGCAATCACAGAAGGGAGTTGTAGGACTAAAAGCATAATTGTCCCTTTTAGGTGCAGCTTTAGAGTAACAATGTGAAGGAACGGAGAGCCGAAACACAACATTCAAGGTAGGGAACAAGAACAGGATCAACCTCTGGAAGCACGTATGGTCTGGAGATAATACTTTGAGGCTCACATTAAACATCGAAAGACGCACGAGCCAAAAGGAATGGAATCCAAAATATACGAAGACTACAAGAGTGTGGTGTTCCTTGGACCTACAATTAGGAGGAACCTTTGGGATTTGAGGTAGCAGAATTTCAAAGCTTAATTCAAATGTTTTATAATCAGAATACATTATTGAACCATGACTCATAGAGGTGGAGGGGGGAGAGACAGTAGATTGTTCCTAGTAATGTCCTAGTACATTAAAACCTTTAATCAGGGATGACTTGAGCTCCCTGCACCATTAGGATACCTATAGTGCCACCTTTTCACTTGATTGGCAATGATGGGAGCAATCCTAATAGTTGAAATTTAAGGAGGAGAAGGATTACATATGTTAGTTGGTGTTATATGTGCAAAGAGCTCCAGTGAGGATGTGGATCACCTCTTTTTGTATTGTCAGCTAGCTAACCGTTAGCGGCAGTAGGTTTTGAGATGGCTCAAGACAAAATGGACAACACCAAGCACCGAAAATGACTTTGAACACTTGAGGAATAACCTCTCATTTCTAGTTTCCTTTTGAAACAACAATTAGGTCCCAAATTGTAAAAAAAAGATTAGGCATCTTTCACAGCAAATTACTCCATCCATCCTATTTTTTTTATTTTATTTTTATTTTTTTATTTGCACCGGGTGTCCGAGTCTCTTTGAGCCCCGACTAATCCCGGGGGTGCACAGGCCCTCGGCAAGGAGTTTCCCGCAAGTGCACCACGGTTAATTCAGGTTTTACCCAGTCCGATGGCCCTCAGAAATTGTTTGCACCCAGTGGGTTTCGAACTTGAGACCTTGAAAGGGAGCAAACCCCAAGGCTCAAGTCAATTGCCAGCAGGCCAACCCCTGAGGGTTCCATCCATCCTATTTTATGTAACAATGTCTCCTTTAAGTCAGTTCAAAACGATCACATTTTTCCTTTTGGGAACAATTTAATCTAAGAATCCCAATTCTATCCTTAATGATATTATTTTATAGCGACAAAAATGCCATGGCTTGTTTGGGATAACAAATTTCAAGAGTCTTTGTTTCTTTCTTAAAACTCCTTGCTCAGTCAAACACATTCACATATAATAAGAGGCAGGGAGTATATCTATTTGTAGATCCTCTACTTCTTGATATATCACTTCCACACAACATTGTTCCCATGGTTTAGTTTGTTACCTATAGTATTGTATGGTATTGTGTTGTTAGTTTAAATATAATGTTTGTTTTGATTGTTACTTAAAATTTACTGTAGCATATGGTTATGTATTTGAAAAGTCTCATTATGTAACGACCGATTCGTGTGATCGCATCGTTACCTTATTCTTGTTTTCTAGTTTTAACTTTACTTATTATCTAACTTTATCATGTACCCTACCTTTTCATAGTAGCAATACCTCCTACACTAATTTACTTGTAAGTTTATACTTCAAATTGATGGTGTGTAACATTACACAACGCCATAAAACAATGCAATCTATCCAACATTGTACTCATCAAAACAATACAATACAATATAATAGATACATTATTAAAAAAAAAATCTTCATTAAAATCAACACACTCATGTTTCAACTTACAGGAAAAAAAAAAACTTTACCTTCCGAGATTGAAGCCGACTGGAGCTGATCAGAGACTTTATCAGCTTCTTTCAAATTAGAATCTGCAAAAAAAAAACTTATCAACCAAAAAACAGGCAAATTGATAACTAATTACAGCTAAATTAATCGAGAATATAAAAAAAAAACCCAATTTTTAGGGTTTATAATAATAACCTTTAACAAGGTCTGGGTAGAGATCGGGTGCATTTTGGATCAACCAGGGTTTGCATTTCTCAAATTCGGATCCGAATTCACAATACTCAGCGGGTAACCCGCAAACTCCACAATATAGAACCTCAACTGCTTGGAGCTTCTCCGCCATTACAGAAGAAAAAAAAAACTTCGGTTTGTTGCTCTGAGAAATTTGCTGAAACTTGAAAACGAATCGTCTCGTAAAACGGCGACGTTTGTTTCCCTTGGAGTATCTTTGGTTCGACTAATAGAATGAACTTAAAAACTAGGTCAAACACATATACAGCCAGGGGCGGACCCACGTGATCTTCAGGGGTTCAACCCCTCAGCAAAAAATTACACTGTATATATAAAGTAAATTTTTTGTATTTCTGTAAATATATATATATTGAACCCCGTCAATAACAAAGAGAAGCTGATGGTGTAGTGGTAAGTCCCCCTAAAATTAAGTTGTGCGTCTGTGGTTCAAATCACAGTGAAAGTGTTTTATTTTTTTCTTTTTCAGTTCTGTTTTTCATTTTTTTTAGTGTTTTTTTTACTTTAAAAAACGTGCTAAAAGTGGGGTTTTAAACCCAAAAAAATCAAGGTTCTCATTTCTAAAGGCTTATTTAAACATTTATACTTTTATTTTTCGAACCCCCTGAACGAAAATCCTGGGTACGACACTGTATACAGCCCCTCAAACTTGCCCTCATTTTTCATTTTGGCACTCCAACTTAGCCTTGTTCCATTTTAACCCTTAAACTCCATTTTTTCTTACCATTTAAACACTTATACTAATTTTTATGATTTCTTTTTATTTATGTTCTTCAATTGCAATTTCTTATTTAAAAAAAATAGAAGTGTACCTGTTAATTAAAAAAATTAAACATTCGCGAACGAACATAAAAAATTTCAAACAATAATATTATTTTTTGATATTTCTCTGTATTTTTGCATGAAAATAAATTGACGAAAGTTCTTTGATTTTCTTTCTTAAACATTCAATCAAATTAAATAACACTACTTATTTATTTTTTCTTATCATCTAGGCTATCTAAATTTAACGCAAATACTCACTTTTAATTTTTAATATAAATCAATACGAATAAAAAAAACCCATCTTCAAAAAGACTCGACTGACTTAGTTAATAACACTACTAAAAAAAGACTCTTGTTCATTGCTAATAACACTAATAAACAATGTTAACTCGACTGACTTTGTTAGGTTGTCAGTGATTTTAAAGAAAGAAAACCAACACAATTTCGTCGGTTATTTTTCACACAAAAATACATAACACTCTTAAAAAGAAATTATTATTTTTTAAAAAAGAATTCTTTTTTGTTAATTTTTAATTTTTTAACTAAAATTAAATGACACATGTCGATTTAAAATAAAAAAAATGTGGACAAGTTAGATGGGCTGTATATGTGTTTGGCCTAAAAACTAACGGTGACTATAAAAAAAAAATATTACAAAATTTGATCGACTTTTAAACCGACCAACTCAATTGGTTTGATTCTAAACTTTTTATAATAAAATCGATCCATCTCGATTGATTTTAATTCTTATTTTAATATAATTTAGTTGAAATTGAAGTTTAAAGTGGAGCAACTTTGATCAATGGATGGACTAAAAATTAATGTGACTAGTGATTATGGAAAACATGACAATAATCAATCGAATTTTAAATTGACCTATAAACCGATCGACTCGTTTGATTTGATCCCAATGTTTTAATAAAATCGATCGAGCTCGATTGAGTTTTTAATCCTTTATTTTAATATGATCTAGCGAACTCAAAATGAATGAGTTGGAAGGATTTATATTCATTTTCAGTATGTTTATTTTTTAAAATAATAAATAAAATATATATATCAGTCAGTATTTCTATTGGTTAATTTTTTTCATAAAAATTATTTTATTATTCCATTTTACCAAGTTATCATACCAGATTAAATACGAAAAGTTACTATTTTACTTTATTTCTTGGCATCAATCGAGCCTGTGATATATAACTATGTGTTCAATAATTTATAATATTGAAAAGGTTATATAATTAAACCTTATTTAAAGTTGATTAAAGTTTCTTTATGTCACTCATTCTTGCTTGTTTAATTTCTAGGCAAATTTGATACGAACATTTAACACAAGTCTTGGAATGTTAAGGTACGAATGGCAAATTCAGTGTTTAGTGACGGAGTCAGAAATTTCGTTAAAATTATTTAAAATATACTATATGATCTATAATTTTTGGATGAGAAGTGTTTAATTGATTACCAATCCATAAACTTATATGGTTCCGCCATTGTCAATACTAGCTTTGAGGGATTGGCCGAAATACGATTGTTAAAACTAAAATTTTACTCATACCTATATATAAATGTCAAAGTCAAGTGCAGAAAAATGTTCGAAATTACACTTTCAACTTCTAATATATACAAATTTTAAATTCTGAATTCATCACCGCGTTTATATTTTATTTAACAAGTTTTTTCTGTTGTAAAAGAAGTTTCACATAAGGCATGTCAAATGATATCAATATTCTTCTATTGGTGAAATCCTACTAGCCAAAATTAAACGCATACATATTATATATATCATTCATAACTTGTTATGTATATTCTTTTTAAAATTAATCAAACATCTTAGAGCATCAAAAGGATTCACTATAAATTGATTATTTTAAAGTTATTTAGTTGATGTCTTTCACATTTATCTTGATTTGAGACTGACAATCTAATCACGGTCATATAGGTACATGAACAATGAAGATAAATGCGAATTTAAAACTTGCACTCCATGAATTTGAGTTTAGAATGTTATCACATTTAAATTAATTTATAACGTTCGAAATGTATTTTTGCATTTAAATATTAGTGAATTTTTTAAATATATTCAAGGTGTACGACTCAAATGTATCTAGCTCGAATTTACGTATATCATATACCATCTCTAATAAAATCAACCCGACTTGTTTGAGATAGAAGCATAGTTGTGTGTTAGCATGGTGAGCACTCCAAATTCCAATCCACCAATGACTTTTGATGTGGAGTCAATTTTATTGGACCAAATATATCATATTTGTGCCCTCCCTTTCATCTTCTTATGGCTTAGCTTAGATTTAGCCCCACCTATTGTATGTTTGGCATGCCTAACTACAATTTTCTTTACATTCCTAACTCCTAAGTGTGAATTTACCTTCTAGATTGCCCAAGTTTCAAATATACTACATCAACATGTTTCATAGAACTACTTTTTGTCCCAAGAAAGTATTACATTCTTACTACTAAGTAAGAGAATTACACCCCACCACAAGAAAACAAGAATAGAGTAATTGAGTAGGAATCAAGAATAAATTTAGTATGTAGTTTGGTTGCTGATTAGAATTATGTAGATATTAGTCATGTAAATATCAGTTACGTTATGCAAGTATTAGTTATATTATCAATATTTTTTTAAACACTTGATAGCATGTTAGCTACTATATATGTATTTTTATCATGTTCTTGAATAACACAAAGTATTGAGATTATAAGTAGATAGAAGAGTTTGAAAGTCGCAGATAATTAGGGTAGAAGGTTAGTTGATAGTTGAGCGTTCTTGCTTTGTTTGGTGGTCATACTTAAACCCCCTTTCTTACTAGTTGTATTAGCACTATTATCATAGTTTCTTGTTTTTCGGGTATCACCTATGTTTTTTTGCTTCGATTATTGTCATAATATTGTTCATTCCTCTATATGTAGAACTGCTCTTCATTTCACAACTGCTTGTTCTTATTTCTGTAATTCTTTTTTCAAACTGCTTGAATATGCTTTATTTTAACCCGAGGGTCTATTGAAAATAACGTCTTTCTATCTCTTCAAGGTAGAGATAAGGTGTGTATACGTTTCTACTCTCCGATACCTAGACTCCACTTATGAAACTACACTAAATATGTTAAAGTTATTATTGTATACACTGTCAATGCATACAACTTATATCTAATCCCTTCAATAATTACTTGAGATCAATGTCAATCTTAATAATGAAATTACCTTGATAAAGCCAATAATTGAAATCTTTAATCCAAGATAATTATGATCTTAAACCAAGCATGCGTGCACTCGGAGACAAAAAAGACTTAGAAAGAAATGTGAACATAATTATTTTGGCTAAATTTAATTTGTAACCTATATATAGCGTGATGATTATTGATTAATTAGCCTCATAATTGCAATCGTGTATCCTTGAATACATAAATTTTTTGTCTTAATATAATGATTTTGCCATATTTTTTATTACCATCAGCAGGGATTTGTACAGTAATTAGCAAGACAAAAAGTGATTATAGATGTTCCTAACATAGCCTAAATTGGAGAAAGGGCTATAAATTAAATTAATTAGAGCTAGACATAGCATAATTAGCAAGGATTTTTCTATGTCTATACTATTAATTTATGCATAATTAGGTCACCCTTTATGGTATTAATTAGACAGCTATACTAATAGAATAAATATTAGGAGTAATATTAAAGTTATATTACATTTGACTATTTTGCACTATATGTCTACTACATCATGATAATGTTCGTCAAATTAATTAAATTTTAAAAATCAATAAGTTTTTGGAGTGATGATAATGATAATATAAGCTCAAGAAAAAGTGGAAAATATGACACTAACAGATTCAAAATTTAGACGTTGTAGATTCTGAAATATTTATATATAAATATATAAATAATTATTATTTTTAAATACACGTATATATAATTTGACGCCTAAACTTCACTAGATTTTATCAAACTCGTGAATTCATTATTGAGTCTATTACTAATATCGAGGGGTGTTCTATTTCATGATCATCACGTTTAAAATTTTAAATTGTTGAATATAAAACACTTATATTAACAAACACGATTCTTTATTTATTTATTTATTATAATAAATATCAATGAAATATAAATTTATCATCTTCATATATTTTATGTGACATGTTAAATTATGTGATCGTTTCATTTAAAAAGTTGGAGTTGTGGATAACGAAGGAACCCAAAGAATCTAAGGGACCCAAGTATATCTTCATGGTACATTATTGTTTGATTTTGCAAGATTTTTACCATTTTCGGCTATTTGACAAATAATTTTCTCTTTTTGGAGGGTGGCAACAAAATCTATCCAAAATTTTGGAAACTGTCCATTAATTCGAATATAATTAAACGTTATTTATTTATTTATTTATTATAGTACAACTTAATTTCTTTCTAATAATATAAAGGTGCGATACATCGTAAAAATAAATCATGA